ACTATGCCTGCCTGAAAGTTGAGTCTTAGTATAGTTGTGTCAAAAAATTTTGACGCGAAAAATGAGACTGACCCAACTTTGTATACATGTTGATAGATGGTGAGCATATTCTGTTCTGATCTTTAATGTATGGACCTTGAAGTGAAAAAAATTTCCACCTTGTATCACCTCATTCCCGAATGTAAACAACAATAAAAATTGAAGTTCTAACTTGACATTTTCAACTTATGTTACTTGAATTGAACGCTGAAATTAATTGGATTTCTTTATTATTTCTCAATTAAAAAATAACGAAAAAAGCTGAGTTAGACTTTTTTCATCATTTTTCCGTGTTTATTCGGACCGTTATATATCCATTAATATTTTTTTGGGGTCTATAGAAAAAATTGCGCATTGAAGGGTTATGCAAGAGTGCCGTGGGTCGAGAGTTTCTGTCAAAATATTTTACATGGGAAAGGGGTCTAGGTAATCACACAAAGGATATTTCGTGGATCTTGGTAAGGCCTGAACATAAGTAAGCATGGACCTTACGAAAAAGCCATTCATGCGATCAAAATACTACTTGATCTCTTTTGTTCAAAAGAAGCACAGTCTGTTATAAACCAAAACTTCGATGTCAACCGAGAAATGAGAAATCGCTACCTGTCTTTTGCTATTGATTTCACTGCAACTAGATGGAACTAGAACCCGAAAACAAAGTATTTGTAATGCAACACCAGACAACACAGTTTAGATTTGACAAAGGTGTCATCAGTGGTATGTTGATGATGTGCAATTATTGTATATTCATGTTTCCATGTTGCTTGAGAATATTGTTGACCAATGCATAACAGAATCCATCGATGGACTCAGGATGCCGACCCAGCAAATATTACCTTTACGGTACTGTATTGGAGATGCGACTTTTGTCGGCAAAATACTTTTCGAATCGTTACTGCTTATACTAGCACGTTCAATCATGACCCCAACGGGCCGGCGCTTGGCTGACATAATAATAATAATTGAGCTGGAATGGCCATCTCAAACTAGATGCCTTTGGCAAGTCGCACCTACACTTACTCGAGGAACTGATGGTATAAAACAGGACCGGCAACACAAGCGCACAAGTGAGGTAGAATAATTTCTCTTTGATGCCAGCTGTGGGTCTTCAGGGCTAGCCACGTGGTAGACTCAATAATCGGTCCCTGGGACACGAGGCAATGGTTCCTACAACCGACCCTTGTAGGGGTCAGAAGCAATTGAATGTTTTGCTTACATATGACGAGCAAGATGACATCGGATGCTTTGAGAGGACGAGCAAACATAAAGACAGTCTAATGCATATTCTGTTGTATGAAACACAAAGTGAGCATGCTATTTTTCCGCCTAAAATCTAAGGAATTATGTCTCGTCGACGAGGCTATGTAGCTTCTTCTCAGAGAGCTGAGGAAGTGGCAGTTCTACCTACCTGAACCTGAACGCGCAGGGCAGTCCAAGACTACCCAAGATTAGCTCCCTGAAGCCCCACAATAACTGACTAGAGTGGATACAGAGTTTCACAATGTTCTCATGGAAGATACTGAAATCTGGCAAGCTGGCATCTCCGTGTACAACGCCGTTCAAGCACTTTGCCAACCGGAATGGTGAAAATCCACCTCTTTGGCTCGAAAACTTGAATGACGAATACGCAAGAAAAAAGCTAAGATCAAGTCGGAGAGTCAATACGTATCTAGTATTCCAATGTGTGATGGATTGTAGGGCGGAAACTAGTTCTTTAACTGCGCTTAATTGAGACGTACTCATCACAATTCGAGTCAAGGACTGTTGCTTACCATAAAGCAGCATTTTGTCGATCGGATACGAATGTTAGTGGCTCCTACAAAGTCACTAGTGATGCGATCGAGAAGTATCCCGAATTCCGTGAAAATGTTCACGGTATTGCGAAACCTCTTTCCATTTTTCTCACTTTCTCTTGACATTTTTATCTCCCGAAACTCAAGAATGACGATCCTGTCCATCAAAAACAACTCACCAAATGAGTTAATCGTCTTCGTTAATTGAATAGGTGTGAACCACCATGAACCTTCGCAGTTGAGTAGATCTACTCAATTGGTACCTACTTTGCACCTATCATCTCCAATCACCAAGCAGTAGCTATGTAATGAAATGGATTTAAATGGTTACAGCAAATTATCAGTGATCCAGATTATTGGTGTTCCTCAGGGGTCACACCTCGGTCTCTTATTATTACACTTATCTATTAACGTTTATTAACATTATTTATTGTTTACATCCCGCCGGAGCACTACTATTTGCATAGAATTTAAAACTTTTCTTGAATGCCCGCAAGCTTCAGTCCGACTTTGATAATATACCAAAATGGTGCTCCTCAAATGGCATGGACTTGAATGTCACAAAGTGCCATTCTTGCGCTTTTATCGATCCCATGTACCTTCTACCACCTTTGATTACACCTCAAATGGTCGTGTCTTGAAGTCTGTTGATGAAATAAAAGAAAGACCTTGGGTTTGCTCTTGATCCCACTTCAAGCTCCAATCAACATATACTCACGGTTATTCATAAAGCCATGAAAATTCTAGGGTGTATCAAACGGCTAACCCACGAATTCACTGACCCAACTGCTATTAAAGCCCTTTTTTGTTCACTGGTCCATCCCCACCTGGAGTAGTGTTCTTCTGTTTGGTCTCCTCATTGTGTAAGTTACATCAAGAACATCGAAAATCTCCAACACAAATTCCTCAGATACATAGCATATAAATCCGGTGTCCTCTCTTGAAACTAGAAGGAAACAGAGACCTGACACTACCTTTCAATATTATTACCGGCAAATGGAGTTGTGCTGATCTCCTAGAAAACATTTATCTACATGTTCAAAACCGCTCAACTCGACAGCAACAAACAATTTATGTTCCATTTTGTCGTTTGAACGACACATTCAGTAGCTGCATTCCAAGAAACTAACGACTAGCCAATAGTAACATTGATCTTGATATGTTCAACATCTCTTTGCAACATTTCAAAACAGAATTACGAAATACTGTGCTTTGATGTTTCAATGCATAGTTCAAGATAGTATATGTATATGGTACCTACGGTGTGTCTCACTTCTCATGGAACACCCCCGTATCTTCCGTAATATTTGAGGTAGAACGATGAAACTCTCAGGACTGATGGAAATGCTCAAAATGCACCTACCATATGAAAGGGGTTGGCCAAAGTGATATACACTGTCCGCCACTCGCGATGGAACACCCCATTTTTACG